AATGAAAATGAGTCAAGTAGTATGTCACCATTTAATTACACCAAATAAAGGCAATTAATACCTCGCGGAAATAAAACAGAATTCTTTTCAACTTTAAGAAAACTCACAACAATAATCAAAGGCAACTGCGGCCATAAATCAATATCAACAAGGGCACTCCCGAAGTACTGCCTCGTAGTCCCAAATCATAAATAAATTCATAGTAACTCATTTTCTTATATCACCGCAGGAGCCTTCGCAATTTATTTTAAAGAAAATATTTTTTCCGAAATAGCATCCCGTGTTTTAGCCACCCTTATCACACCGCATGACTTCTAGTAGTTTTCCCTACTAGCCACGCATATCAAGCCACCCTTATCTCACCGCATGTGTTTCAACACCCAGACCTTATACCATCGCATGCGTATCAACATCATAATATATCACAATCTGTACCTCAAGTGCTCAAATATTTTAATTTGCCAAAATAAATAATATCAATAATATTTTCCATAATAGGGAGCTCACGGCACAATCACAATGAGTACAAAAATCTCACAAAAATATTCGGGAATAAATAACTCAACAAAAATAATATTTCAAAATTTCTAATACATTGCTTCAATACCAAATTTAAAATGTCAAATACTTCATATTACTAACATTTAAATTAAAGAAAATCAACCTTCAAATAATGCACAGAATAAAAGAAACCAAGTTTTAACTAAACAGGTAAAAATAATTAGCAGAAAAAGGTCAAGTAAATTTAAAATATAAACATTAAATCAATGACGAAGAATATAACAAGGTAAAATTATTTAATTAATATGCAACAGTGATCTACACAATTTAAAGCCATAATCTTCCACATTTAGCCCGTGTACACACACGTCACCTCGTGTACACAACTTTCAACACATTACAATTATCACATCAATACCAATCCTAGAAGAAATTTCCCCCACACAAGGTTAGACAAGTCACTTACATCGACTTGCTCCAATTTAACCAAGTAGTATGCCTTTTCCTCGATTTTGCGACTCCGATCGACTCGAATCTAGTCATAATTAATTCGATACAGTCAACAAAAATTATAGAATCAATTCCATAAGAAAATACTATATTTTTTAATAAAAATCCGAAATTAACTCAAACATTGTCCGTGGGGCCCATATCTCGGAATCCGGTGAAAGTTACGAAATATGAACGCACATTCAACCACGAGTCTAACCATACCAAAATGACTAAATTCCGATAACAATTCGACCCTCAAATCTATCCAAGAGGTTTTTCAAATTTTTCCAACTTAAATCACCAATTAATTGTTAAAAAAAGTGATGGATTCGGGTAATCTAACCAAGATTGAGTTAAGAACACGTACCCCGATGTTTTCTATGAAAATCTCCCAAAAATTGCCTCAATCCGAGCTCCAAATCGTTAAAAATGGAAGTCCCATTTTCAGAACTTAAACTCTCTGCCCAGGCTTTTACTCTTCGCGATCGCGAAGCACAAATTTTCACTGCCCAAATTAACTCTACGCGATCGCGGATATCCCAACGCGATCGCAAAGCACAAAGTTCCCAGCTCTACGCGATCGCAGCCCTCTTCACGCGATCGCATAGAGCAAACGTGTGACCTCCACTTCTGCTCTGTTACTCTACGCGAACGCGACCTTCTTCACACATTTGCGAGTCACAAAATGTCAAAGCTACGTGATCGCATCCCGCTTCATGCGATCGCGAAGCACAAAACTCAGCAGCCCTCAATTAAACTTACGTGATCGCAAACAATGCCACGCGATCGCGATGCACAGACTAGCCCAACCTACGCGATCGCGGTTGACCACACGCGATTGCGAAGAACAAAATCAACACTGCCTCAACTAAGCCTACGCAATCGTGAAGAAGGTTTAAAATACCAGAAATCAGCAGCTACCAGCAATGCCAAAATGAAGGAAAATACTCTGAATACCATCTGAAATACTCCCGAGCCCCTCGGGACCTCAACCAAATATAACAACAAGTCCTAAAAGATCATATGAACTTAGTCGAGTCTTCAAATCACATCCAACAACACTAAAAATATGAATCACACATAGATTCAAGCCTAATGAACTTTGAAATTTTTAATTTCTACAAACGCGTCGGAACCTACCAGATCAAGTCCGATTGACCTCAAATTTTGCACGTAAATCATAAATGACATAACAGAGCTATGAAAAGTTTTGGAACTGGATTTCGACCCCGATATCAAAAAGTCAACTCCCCGGTCAAACATCCAAACTTAAATTCCTATTTTAGCAATTTCAAGCCTAGTTTAACTACGGATTTTCAAATAAAATTTTGAACACGCTCCTAAGTCCAAAATCACCAACGGAGCTGTTGGAATCATCAAAATTCTATTCTGGGGTCGTTTTCTCAAAATATTGACCAAAGTCAAACTTAGCATTTTAAGGCCAACTTAAGGAACCAAGTATTCCGATTTCAACTCGAACACTTCCAAATCTCGAACCAACCATTCCCGCAAGTCATAATTTATAAAAGCACATACTTGGAGTTTTATTTAAGGCAACGGGGTTCTAAAAGTCAAAATGACCGATTGGGTCATTACACAGAAGAGTTGGAGCACTCAGAGACTCAATGTGATTTTGGGTATTGTAGGCGTATTAAGGCCGAAGAGGTAGAGAGGCCGATACGGAGGATGGGCAAGGGTAGAGCGATGAAACTAGATGAAATCTCGATGGAATTTTAGAAGAATGTGGTCCGAGCTGGCGTGGAGTGGCTTACTGAGTTGTTTAATGTTATTTTAAAGACAAAGATGATGCCCGAAGAATGGAGGTGGAGTATGATGGTACCATTGTACAAGAATAAGGGCGATATCCAAAATTATAACAACTACAAGGGTATAAATATGTTGAGCCACACTATAAAGGTTTGGGAGAGGGTGGTGGAAGCCAGTGTGAGGAGGATCGTGTCTATTTCTGAAAATAAATTCGGATTCATGCTGGGTCATTCGACGACGGAAGCTATCAATTTGGTGAGGATACTAGTAGAGTAGTATAGGAAGTGTAATAAGGACTTGCATATGTTATTCATTAACCTTGAAAAAACATACGATAAAGTCCCGGGGGAGGTTCTGTGGAGTGCTTGGAGGTTAGCGGCGTCCTGGTAGCGTACACTATGATGATTAAGGATATGTACGATGGTGTTAAGACTCGGGTGAAGACTGTGGGAAGAGACTCAAAACACTTTCCGATTATGATGGGTCTGCACTAGGGATTGACTCTTAGCCCATTCTTATTTGCCCTGGCGATGGACATGCTGAAGCGGCACATCCAAGGGGAGGTGCCATGGTGCTTGTTATTTGCAGATGATATAGTATTGATAGACGAGACACGAGGTGGGGTTAACGTGAGGTTGGAGGTCTGGAGACAGTCCTTGAAGTCTAAAGGTTTCAAGTTGAGCATGACCAAGACAGAGTACTTGGAGTGCAAATTCAGTGACGGGAACCTTGAAGCAGACGTGAATGTGAAGCTCGATACTCAAGTCATCCCCAAGAGAATTAGTTTCAAGTATCTCAGATCTATTATACAGGGTAACAGAGAGATCAACGAGGATGTCACACATCGTATTGGAGCGGATGGATGAAGTGGAGGCTTGCTTTCAGTACGCTATGTGATAAGAATGTGCCGCCAAAACTTAAGGGTAAATTTTACAGAGTGGTGGTTCGACCAACCCTGCTGTATGGGGCAAAGTATTGGCCAGTCAAGAGCTCCCAGGTGCAGAAGATGAAAGTAGCAAAAATGAGGATGTTGAAATGGATGTGTGGGCGTACCAGGAGGGATAGGATTAGGAATGAAGTTATTCGGGACAAAGTGGGAGTGGCTTCAGTGGAGGACAAGATGCAGGAGTCGAGGCTGAGATGGTTTGGGCATGTTAAGAGGAGAAGCATTGACGCTCCTGTTAGGAGGTGTGAGAGGTCGACCATGGCGAGTTTGAGAAGAGGTCGAGGCAGACCTAAGAAGTACTGAGGAGAGGTGATTAGGCAAAACATAACATGGCTTCAGCTCACAGAAAGTATTACTCTAGTGGGTCCTAAATATTGATCGTTTTGACAAATTGGAGAGTATGATTTAAAATAATTTTAAAAAGTCTTTTTTCCTTCAAATTCACCTAACTGCTCCAAGTAGCTGAATGCTAATAAAATGAGACGTATTTGAAAGAGGAAATTACGATTACTACACATCTTTCGAAAGAGGTGTGCAAAAAATCTAAAAGACAATAATATGGATCGGAAATAATACATGATGAAAGGCATCATGTGATTATGTAAACCTCCTGTTTTTGTCTGAATTAAGTAACTAATGCTAGAAATTTGCCCCATTAAAGTTTCGAATAAAAAAATATTAACGAAGAAAATATTATGCAGTCCTTCAAATCATGTAACCTCGTAATTATTGTGAATCACGCAACTAATGTTAGGATTTGTCTAATTAAGATTTACTTAATTGTGAGGTATGCACGCTTAATTAATCGCACAATTTTCGCCTAGTAATTAGCAGATCACAGCCCAAATAATTTTCCTTGTAAGCAGCTAGGAACACCGCTAATTAGAATTCATCGACTTGTGTAGCGTGACAATCAGGTTTGCTCTGACATTTACAAATTACAAACATTGGGGTACGTGTAGGGTCGGCGCCGGCCTTAATACCTTTTTAATATTAAACCCAGATATAATAATCATAATAGTAACATATTAATAATATTTGACAAAAACCTATGTAAACTCTAGACAAATAAATTCTTAATTAACTTTTGTTTTTGCTCCCACGACCTCCAAAAGTCAATGTCAACCCTTAATTGCATAACTGCAATGCCAAGTTATGGCAGTTGACCTTATAATGGATTTCTCTATATAAATAGATCATCTCGTTTCTTCTGTTTCATCATCTCATATTCAACAGAGAAAAGGAGAAAAAAAAAAAGGCAAGAGAAAATTTAGAAAGATAGAGAGTGAGAAAAATGATAAGCTCAGTAGTAACAGCACAATCTCATCTATCGGTTATTACAATCGTATTCTACACTTGTTTGTGGATTCCATTCTGCCAAATACAACAATTCATGCAAAAGATGTTGGATTTTTTGATGTATTATCCATATCCTCGGCCAGTCAATGAAGCAGCTATCTATGTTCCAACCTGCTGTGACCTGAAACTTCCGGCCAGTAGATTCCCCGATGTTCAGGGCCGGAGCAGTATCGACGGGGAAGTAGAGGAAAGTTGCTCCATTTGCTTAATGGAGTATGAGAAAGAAAATGTGGTTTGTGAATTACCAAGTTGTAAGCATGTATTCCATATGGAGTGTATTGAGAGATGGGTGGAAAGGGGCCAATTCACTTGCCCTCTTTGTAGATCTTTGCTCTTGCACCGGACAGCCGATTCTCCTTGCAAATGATCTATTAATGCTAACTAGTAGGAGGATTTATATACCAAGGATTCAAGATGCGTAGATCTTGAAGAGAGACTAATTCTTGACATTTGTTATAAACTCAGATTGTATTTTTTCTTAACGAGAATGAGGCCTCACGATTTTGTTATAAGTGAGGTCTATCTTTGATCTGCACATATATATAAATATATATTCATAATCTTTTTATTCTTTTTTGGAATATCTGATGTTTACAGTTTAGGGAAGCGTCTTGTATTTTTTGTTTGAGTGCATTTCGAGTAAAATAGGGATGATAAATTATGCTTAGCAATTTTTTACTATAGCTGATCATAGCGACTACGTGCGTATAAAGTTGGATTGATCCATCATCCATCTGTAGATTTATGCTTAGCTCATTGTTATATGACAATGGACTAATTAGTAAACTGGGCAAACTTGCGCTATTCTCTGCTTAGATTCAAGGTTCTGATTCCATTGGAGGTGCTCCATTCTTCTACATTTCCCTCTAGCTATCACTGCACGAGAGGAAATGATCAAAGTGAAATAGAACATGAAACCGTAAGCTCCCAAGCAGTGGGAGGAGCCAGGGCTCTGACCGCGTGCCTGTTGAAGAATGAGCCGGCGACTCATAGGCAGTGGCTTGGTTAAGGGAACTCACCGGAGCTGTAGCGAAAGTGTATGAACGTTGGATCCATTTGGTCCCTGATGTATAACACCTAATGGAAAAGGTCCTTAATGTATACCAAAAACTAGTCAGTTTGGTCTTTAGCCCTAAAAAGTGACGGCACCCACTAAAAATCCGTCAAAATCAACGGAACCCACGTGAGAAACAAAAGCACAAACAAAAACCTCTGCCTTCTTCCATACATTAGGGACGATTTTGATCATTTCCTCCACTCCACGAACTCGCCTCACTTTAAGGAAAATTTAAAAATTAAATAAGCACTGTGGTTTAGCGTGCGATTCCCTAACATAATTGTTTGACAGAAAAAAATGACTTTCGGCTAAAACTATTATATATATGTAACGACGGGTTAAACCTAGTTAATAATAATATCTCTAGATGCGAATAAGTGGAACAAATCCAGTAAAGGGTTGACAATAACAAGCATTAAATAGTCATAAAATATAAGCAACAATTGGAGGGTGGCTGATAATAAATAGCAATAAATGACATTTAAGTAAATAGGAGGAGGGATTCACCCAATAAATAATGAGCTAGGTGATTATTCCTCCTGACAATGATGAGTGATTGACAAATCTTAGAACATTCGAAATCTTCTCGAATCAGATGGAAAAGTGTTGGGTAATATCAACAAGAATCTTGCTAAAAAGGTGTTCTTTGTATCTTTTCAAGAGAGAGAGAAAGAGAATCTTTTGTCAATCTTATCACAATGAATATCACATGCCCCTATTCTTTACCTTTTTTCATATTTATCTAGGACATACCCCCAATAAATCCTAATAGTACAAGTATAAAGAATATCCAATGGAATATTTTCTTTAATGTCCTGCCCTAATAAACTAGCCGTTACAACTCTTTTTGCAATGCTCAACGTCGGCCATCTTTTGCATCTCACCCACGGGCTTTTCCATCTCCTGGTCGATCTCGGCTGACTCTTTTCTCGATGTTACCTAGTCCCAAGTACTGGGACAGATTTCGACCTATACAGTTAGTCCCTCCGCTTATTAAGGCCGACACTAGACGCCCTTGATGAGCGAATTCGTTTGTGTTTTGCATATTCTTCATATCGAATCCCTTTATCTTCTTCTTCTTACTTCACTGCTGCGTATCCTCTTTACTGGTCTTAGCGATCCTTGTTGCTTCTAGTACCTCCTTGCCTGAATATCTTCTCTCAAAAATATGGCTAATGTATCTTTTGGTTCCGGCGTGGGAACTGATCTTGTTCCTTTGGCGGTGCTTATGCCCTCTGGCTCTGAAGGCGTCTCTGTCACCGTTGAAAATGAGAATCTTCCTACGATGGAGGAAATAATTCCTCGTAGTGAGAAAATTAGGTCCGACTTCTCGAAGGCGCCTGAAGGCGAGCTCGAGATCTCGGAGTCAGCGATGAAAGAGGTCGATCTAGCTGAGCTTAGGGCAAAATTCAACATTCCTACCCACATCGATCTGGTCCCGGTGGGGCGTGATATGGTACAAGTCCATCGCCTTGGGTATTACGCGTTATATGAATATCCTATCCATGTTGGCTATACTCTTCCCCTTCTCCCGTTGGCGGAGGAATATATCCGCTACTATGGTGTTTGCCCGGCCCAACACTCTCCATACATTTACAAGCTTATTAGGACGCTCATAAAATTTGCGGAATTGGCCGGTGTCGAGGTCACACTCCGCCATCTGATGTATCTCTTCACCCCTAGTTTCTACAGGGGGACGATGTTGCACTTTCACCACCGAGGAAGTAAATTCCTGGTGGTGAAGATGGATGACAAGGCAAATCGTCAATTCTGGCTCAACTGCTTTTTTATCAGAACCGAGGACGTGGTGACCAACGCGATCGACTTCCCTGAGACTTGGAATTACGCTCATAAGTATCTATATTTCTTTTGTTTTTCTGCTAAAAGCACTTGATTTGTCTTAGTCGCCGGCTCTAGCATTTTGTTTCTTCTTCGTACAGCCAAGACTATGCCCCTCTTTGGTCGGGGACATTTCGAACTGGATTGGCCGGGTGCTGCCTCACATTGTGGGGATTCGTGAATGGCAGGGCTTTCTCAAGAAGTTCGGGCTTGCTTCTTCCTCGGCCGGTGAGTTCATCTATATAAATTTTTGCTATCTTGACCTTATAGTCACTTGCTTGTTGCAATTTATTCTTGGTGGTGATACCTTTGAATCTTTCTTTTTTAGTTAGAGAATCGTTCAGGAAGCCGAAGGCTCCTCCTCCTGCATTTCGTAAGAGGAAGGTTGCCTCTTCTTCGGCATCTATTCCTATTGTGACCACGGCTAGGCCTGCCCGGTTGTTTGTTTCTGTTCCTTTTTTCGCCGCGGCTAGGTCTGCTTGGTCGTCGGTCCCACCTGCTGCTACCTCAACACCGGTTTCTTATCCTTCTGCGGACATATCAACAACAGGGCTTCGAGCTTCCCCTTTGCATCGTCTAGTGGATGAGTAGGAAGAGTCATTGCCGAGTGGTGGGAATTTGGTTTCCCGTAAGAGAAGATCGGTGGTCGTCGGTGATGGGGTTGCCCGGGATGTGGATTCGGTAAGGGTCAATTTCGTCATCCATGAGACAGCGACAATTGTGCTTGAAGATGACATTGAGTCGTCGTCTGAGATTCCACCATCGGCTGAGGTCGCAGAGGGCGTGTCCCTTCCTGATGTCACGGTGGAAGCTGAAGGGCTGTCTGCGAGAGTCTCTGATATTTTATGGCAAGATGAGCCGTCGGCCTCGCGACCGGCTGATTGTCCTTCTTCGATGGCCGACAGGAAAGGAAAAATCATTGCCGAGGAAGGTTATGAGATGGGCTCTGATATTGACGCCGATGAGGTAAGGATGATGGGGGAGGGTTTTACCCAACTCGAAGTAAGACTAGAGGGGTCTACACGGACCATTGAGATCCCCATGGATCGAGATTTGCTGGTAAATACGGAGAATGTGGTTCCTTCCCTTGGTCCCTTCTGTTCTGACGTAGAGGGTAAAACTCTTGAAAAGCTGGATGACGCTACCTTATCAAGGAGCATAGCCGGCCTAGCTCTCAGGGTCAGCCTCTCGACTTCTTCCGTTTTTGTTTGTCAAGTTCAATGTTTAGGCTTCGTTCTTACTCTCCGTTTTCTTTTTCTTTCTCTTTCAGACTGTGATTTTGGAGATTGAAAGCACCCGAAGAGAGGAGAGACGTAAGGCTATTTTTCTGAAGATGGAGCATAAATACCGTGAGTACCGTGGCAAGAAATGCAAGATTTGTAGGTGGTTTGGTGAGAGCGGCAATTTCCAGGTACTCCGAGACGAACTGAAGAAAAAGGATGACGAGCTAGTGAGGGTCATCAAAAAATGCAGCGTTCTAGAGGGGGCACTAAGAGATAAAGAAGAGGAGCTTGAGGTTAGTAGGGGGGTTGAAGCCCAGTGCGGCGATCTCCAAGCCCAAGTGGTCTCGTTGCGTGCCAAGCTCTAGGAGTGTGAATTCAAAGCGGATGCTTTAAGTGGCGAGGTCGCCAAGAAGGCAGCGAATCTCGAGAAGGTGGAGTTAGCTCAGTCGGGGGCTTTGAGGAAGGTGGAGGCTTTGGAGATTGTAATCGGCGTTCTTCGTTCCGAGCGAGAGAGTGCCTTGGAGTTAGTAGTTTTTCGCTACTAGGCCTGGCGGCGATTAGTAGTTTTTATTTTCCTTCTTTTCGTTTTGCCGTAAACTTGTGCATTTTTTGTGGGCATCTTTTCGAGCCTTTGTAAAAAATATTCTAAGTATGAAATGCCAGTTTTGTTATTTGTACCTGATTCTTTTTCTTTTGTTCGAGCTTGTATGCCTTTTGGCCTTGTTTCTTGGTTGCCTTGGTTCTCTTAGTCGTAATCTCTTAGCTCGGGTAGGATTGAACATATCCTTAGTTTAATTACGGCCGCTGGTCAAAAGGTGTTAGTTCGATCGAGGTTGAAACAAAACCTATGTTTGATTATAGCCAAGGGCCAGTAGATGTTAGTTCGAACGAGGTCGAACATACTATATGTTTAGTTATGGCTGAGGGCCAGTAGATGTTGATTCGAACGAGGTCGAATATAACCTATATTCAGTTATGGTCGAGGGACGATTAGGTATTGATTCGAACGAGGTTGAATATAACCTATACTTAGTTATGGCCGAGGGCCGATTAGGTGTTGATTCGAACGCGGTCGAATATAACCTATACTTAGTTATGGCCGAGGTCCTATTAGGTGTTGATTCGAACAAGATCGAATATAACCTATACTTAGTTATGGCCGAGGGCCGATTAGGTGTTGATTCGAATGAGGTCGAATATAACTTATACTAAGTTGTGGACAAGTGCCGATTAGGTGTTGATTCGAAT